GGGTGGGGGTGTGGGGGGGGGGGTGGGGGGGGGGGGGGGGGGGGGGGGGCGGCGCTTGTAGGATGGGTATCTCAGGATTTGGATGACTGTCCATCTAAGGATCGGAAAACTCGCTCAGTGCCTTGTCTCCAGGGTGGGACCCGGGTCTCCAATTCTCCTTGTGAGCCTAGTACAGCACAGCACCAGGAAAGGATGCCCACGACCTCCAAACAAGCGGCCTAAAGCCGCGGGTCCGGGCGCTGTGGTCCAGGCTGTCAGAGCCAGGAGAGACGGAGATGTGGGTCCAGCCGCCACAAATCACCAGGGTTTTTAGAATGCGAGTGGCGGCGGGTATGTGTGTGTGTGTGTGTGGGAGGGGGGCGGGGGACCACTTCCGTTCCATTTCCTTCCTGGCGGTGGCGGGAATGAGATGGTCCCTCAGGTGGGGCTGCAGCGCCCTCTGGAGGCCCCGTTTCCTGGCTGCAGGTCTCGGGTGCCAGCAGCGGCGCGTGCGTGCGTCCAAGGAGGCCTCCTGCACCGGGCGTGGGGACAGCACCGCGCGCAGGCCTGGGGAGGCTGTGCTGCTCCCTGCCAACCCCAGCGCTACCGCCTCTACAGCACAATCTGACTTGTTTCTGGTCTCTCCCAGGTTCCGAGCTCGCCGGCCAGGAGCGGCAGCGCGCTCCGGGCAGCTGGACAAACCCCGCGCCCGGCTGCGCTGCGCCATGCCGGAGGGTTGAGTGTCGCGGACGTTGCTCTGGGACACAGCAGGACCTCGTCCCGCTTTGCGTGGGGACTGCGCGCGCCAGGGCAGAGCCCGGGCCGCTGACCATGGTGCTGCCGCCTCCGGACCGGCGCCACGTGTGCCTGACCACGCTGGTGATCATGGGCAGTATGGCAGTCATGGACGCGTACCTGGTGGAGCAGAACCAGGGCCCGCGCAAGATCGGGGTGTGCATAATCGTGTTGGTAGGCGACGTGTGCTTCTTGCTGGTGCTGCGCTACGTGGCCGTGTGGGTGGGCGCCGAGGTGCGCACGGCCAAGCGTGGCTACGCTATGATCCTCTGGTTCCTCTATATCTTCGTGCTGGAGATCAAGCTCTATTTCATCTTTCAGAACTACAAGGCAGCGCGGCGTGGAGCGGCCGACCCGGTGGCTCGCAAGGCGCTGACACTGCTGCTGTCCGTGTGCGTGCCAGGACTGTTCTTGTTGCTTGTGGCACTAGACCGCATGGAGTACGTGCGCACCTTCCGAAAGCGCGAAGACCTTCGCGGCCGCCTCTTCTGGGTGGCCTTAGATCTGCTGGATCTGCTGGACATGCAGGCCAATCTCTGGGAGCCGCCGCGCACCGGGCTGCCGCTGTGGGCCGAAGGCCTCACCTTTTTCTATTGCTACATGCTGCTGCTGGTGCTGCCCTGCGTGGCGCTCAGCGAGGTCAGCATGCAAGGGGAGCACATCGCACCGCAGAAGATGATGTTGTACCCGGTGCTCAGCCTGGCCACTGTCAACGTGGTGGCTGTGCTGGCCCGTGCCGCCAACATGGCGCTCTTCCGAGATAGCCGAGTCTCGGCCATCTTCGTGGGCAAGAACGTGGTGGCACTGGCCACCAAGGCCTGCACGTTCCTCGAGTACCGTCGCCAGGTTCGCGACTTCCCACCACCTGCGCTTGCGCTTGAGCTGCAGCCACCTCCTTCCCAGCGCAATTCGGTGCCGCCGCCTGCACCACTGCATGGTCCGCCAGTGCGTCCCCACGGGCCCTCACCCACTCGTGACGCGTTGGACACGTGACAGGCCCCCCCCCCCGCGGGCCGCACAGACGCTGGACTAGCTGCTGCGCGCGCGTGTGGTTTGCATGGGATGGGATGAGGCAGGCTCCCATTAGGGACAGGTGCTGTGAGTACCTGTGCAGTGCCTGGGGTGCCGGGGCCGCGTCTGCTTCTTCATCTCAGGAATCTCTCGGACCACGGACCTTCAGCTCCCACTCCACTGGCTCTCCTCGATGCACAGGGCAGTTGGTGAGGCCTGGTCCCAAGTGGAGATGCCTCAGCTCCCGCCTGCTGCTGGGCTGCCGGGGTGGGGAGGGAGGTCAGTGTTCCAGGAGATCTAGACTTACGGTAGGAGCCCCTGGCTCAGAGTTTGGGGCCAAGGAAGCCTCTGTCATTTTAAAGACTTGTGTTTACAGTTTTGTACACAAAGCCTGGCTGTTTTTCCTGTTTCACGAGTCCCCTGCCTAAGAGCTGGGCAGAGTGGCAAGGACTGGTGAGTGCTGGCGGCCATGGGCAGCCAGGTACTTCTGGAGCAAACTTCTGGGTCTCTTCTTGAGGTGGGTCTCAGTCGTTCCTGGGTGGGTCTGTTATTATGACCCTGTGTCAGAGACACTGCCTCTTCTCCCATCTCCCTGCGTCTGTTCCTACAGACTCTGCTCTTCCTGAGGTATCCTGACCCTCCTGTGCCCCCAGTTCTTCAGTGTTCACAGTTGTCCAGGCCTCATGTCCCCGCCCTTCCCACTCAGGTTCAGAAGTGTCCTCGCATCCATCCCCTTCATGTACAAACATCCTCTTCTGTCTGTGGGTGACGTGGGCTCATGACTGCCAGTGTCAAATGGGACCAGGTGCCAGCTCTGTTCCCAAGTTGAAGCTGCATGCAACCTCCGCCAGAAGAGCAGTCTGGCCTCGTGTCACCCCAGCCTGGCCCTGCCCCAGACACTGGCCAGTCCCGCAGTGCCCTGGCCCAGTGCACAGGCTTTGATGTCTGTCTGTGGTCTCTCCCTGACTTCCACTCCAAATCTGCAGTGACTGAGTTCACCGGGCCTAGGAGGGTCTCTTTGGGGCATTTGGGGAGGGGCTTTAATGAGGCTGTTTGAGGGGGCCTTAACTGTAAGGGGTAATGGCTGGCCTGGCGTCTGCAGCGCCATGCGGACCCCCATGGCCTGCCAGGCCTGTGTCACTGCATTGCCTGGTCCTCACATTGATTTACACCCTTGTGATTCAGAGTAGGAGGTCTGCTGTCCGGTCTGACCTGCTGTAGCGGGGTGTGGATTCAGCTGTGCCCAGCAGGGCAGCTCCATCCCTGTGCCCACCTCTGGATGCACTGACTGTGCCCACCTGTGCCCACCTCTGGATGTCCCTTCCCTACCCAGAGAGCTGCTTCTCTGAGTCTGAATTTAGAGCATCGCCTGCTTTGCAAGCAGCTGTCCTCGGAGACACAGGGATGGCCCATGTGTCTGTTCCCCTCACTTGGTGGAGGGTGGCTAGTGCCTCTCTGGCTTCCATACTGGGCCTTGTCCCTACCTCAGACTATATCCCCCACAGTGCCTGATGAGCACCCCGAAGGCCTTGGCTCTGGGTTCTACACCCCAAGACACTGCAACCTACTGACAAGCTGAGAGAGTGGAGGCCTGTGGTGCACGCAGGACAGTGACCCTGTAGAGTGTGCATGGGCTGGCTGCAGGAGTCCCTCAGTTAGTGCGCAGACCCTGGCTGTCTTTGGCTTTGTGTGGTCTTGGACGGGGGGCGCAATGGATGAGGCCCAAGAGGTGAGCTGTAATTCTGAGCATCTGGGGTGTTGCCTGTGTCCTTCTCTTGTTGAAGGCAGGACCATCCTATCTGTCCACTCTTGTCTCTGTGCTCACATTTGCTAAAGCGTCAGATACATCTGGCTGTCCCTTTCCTAACTTCTTCCCCGCAGAGGAAGTTTCTCTATTTAACAGTTTTGGCTGTCCTGGAACTCATTCTGTAGATCAGACTGGCCTTGAACTCACAGAGATCCACCTGCTGGGATTAAAGGTGTGCGCCACCACTGCCCGCCTCTTTCCCCAACTTCTTGAATGGCTTGTGTGGCCAGATGTGGTAGAGAAGGGAGCTAGGGGTCCCTTTGTGCTCAGTCATTCAGTCTTGGTTAATAAACCCTGGTGCTAGGTGCTGACCTTGACCCACAAGCCTCGAGAGGACTGGGGATGATAGGCTTCCGGGAGAGGCACTGGCGAGAGCGGGTCCTGAGTACATGGACAGAAGTTTGGACATGGACCCTCAAACATTAGGTGTCCCAGGGCTGTGAGTGGTGGCTTGGCAAAGGTACCACTTGAGATGGGGGGAAGAGCTGTAGTCATGGGGACCCCCACTGAGTACCTCAGGCGAAGCGTTGAGTAAGGAAGTTGATGACTGCAAAGGACAGGGAGGTGGGCAGTGAACAGAATAGGGGCCCCACGCCCTGTGAGGTATGGAGGATTCCTCCTAAGCCCTCAAGTAGGTTTTGGAAGGATGGAGTGTCGGGGTACGTTCACTGTGAGGTCCCTGAATGTGCCTGTTTCAGAAGGGGAGTCTGAGATCATACGAAGCCTTAGACATCATAGGTCAAAGGCTAGCCAGGTAAAAATACAAGGGAATTTAATAGGGAAAAGCCTTACTTACAGAGCTACCTAGCCAGCCGGCGGGCAGCAGTCTGTACAACAAGCCAAAGATGACAGCAAAAGCAACCAACCACATAAGCATCCCTCACTCTATGTCACCCTGACCACGCCCTTGAAGGAGTGGTCAGGCACACCTGTAGCCAGCCCCTAAGCAGGCGTGGCTACAGCTTCCCCTACACTAAGCCACCTTAGAGAGTGAACCAACCAGTGAAGACAGCCTAAGGAGAGGAGAGAGGTGGCTTGCACTGGAGGGCGTGGTGGGGAGGGTGCTTCTGGAAGGCCTGTGGGGGTTGGGGAGGGAAATACTCCCCAAGTGCTTGGACAAGAGTCAGGAGGAAGAGAAATGGGCATCAAGGCTATGCCCTGGGGCGGAGGCTGTCCCCAGGAGCCGTAACCCTCCAAGGGACTGACCCATCTGTGATATCATCAACAGCACGTTCACCTTCATCACCCCCTACCAGACAAGGTCACGTGACATTTCCAACTTATGTGGCAAGGCTCACTGGAGGGTCAGAGAAGCCCTGTTTGGATACATTAACCACCTGTGCCCATGTCCCAGGGTGGGACCTGTGGTGTGCTCAACTTGCACTGTCCCGAGAGACAGTGGCATTACTGTATGGAGCTTGACCGTCCCAAGATCTGAAATTTTAACCAGAGTTCAGAGATGTCTGCAGACCTGGAGCCTAACCCCAGGGTGCTCAAGACTTGTTCCCACAGCCCAGGTGCTGGGACCTGAACTCCAGTCCTCCGCAAGAGCAGCGAGTACAGCGGTCTCCTCTCAGCTTTCCCACTGTTCATTTCTGAGATGGGCTCTCATACTGGTACACAGTTCGATTGGTCCCAAACTCCTGGGCTCCAGTGGCCTTCCTGCCTTGGCCTCCTCAGCAGCTGAGAACACGGGTGCCACCTTCCTGACCTACACAGTCTGCTTATTTATGGAGACAGGGTCTCATGTCTCACAGGTGGCCTTGAATTCACTCTGAATCTGGGGATCATGGCCTTGAACCACTGCTCTTTCTGCCCTACTTCCCAGAGCTGGGATTATAGGCACGAACACTGTGCCCACCACCCTTTTGTAAAAGGGGTGTTGTATGAAACTCAGGATGCTTGCATGATAGACAAACACTCTGCCGACTGAATGACATCTTCAGCCCAACGGGGGCGGGGAAGGAAAGGTAGGGCAAAGCCATAGAATAACTCTTCCGTAGTCCTTTTCTGGCGCAGGTGAGAGGGGTGTGTGCATTATGGCTCTTGGCTCTACCCTCTCTCTCTCTCTCTCTCTCTCTCTCTCTCTCTCTCTTTGGTTTTCTGAGACAGGGTTTCTCTGTGGCTTTGGAGGCTGTCCTGGAACTCACTCTGTAGACCAGGCTGGTCTCGAACTCACAGAGATCCATCTGCCTCTGCCTCCCGAGTGCTGGGATTAAAGGCGTGCGCCACCACCGCTCAGCTGGCTCTACCTTTCTCTAGTCAGACTTTGGTCAGGGGTCAGGGCAGGGGTGAGGACTATGTTTGTTGTGTGCGATGCCTGGGCAGACCTTGAAGACCTCAGCATTATCCATGCCACACTGGCTAATGTTAGAGGAGGCAGGCTCTTGTGAGTTGTGTTGGGGAGCACCTGCCAGGTCCTTATTGTCTTCCTGGGGCCAGGCCAAGAGGAAGCAGAACCCTCAGGCTCTGATGTGCTGCCCGTTGAGCTTGGGGTGCTGATCTTGGGATCAGGAGTCAGTGTTTTCTCTGCTACCATGACACTACGGCAGGCTTTCAAAGTCAAATCCCAGACATGACCACGCATGGCAGAACCACAAGAAGGTATAGAGGCTGTCCTAGGAGCTAGATGAGGCTTTGGGTCCCCTTGGGTCCCAAGCTAGGGCTTCTGAGGAGGGAGGGACGCCTAGGAATACCCATTCCATCTTTATTTTGATATTATTTGGAGTGACAGTGGGACGGGGCCAGACTGGTCTTGCCAGTCTGATCCCACCACAGGGGAAAGTCTGAACCTGTGACCCTTCATCTTCCACTCTCAGGCACCCTCACGTTTGCTACAGAACAGTGGTCTCAAAATAACGAAATCGGGATTCACCAAAATCAAGCCCACTTATCTTAACAGGAGAAACTTTCTGTGATCGGATTCCTCTGAGCAAAGAAACAAGAGGGATACCAACCAGCGGCCCTCAGAAAAGCCATCTACTCCTTCCTCATTTTTATGGTTTACCCTGCCTCCTAGGAGCTCCTTTGCTAAGCCTTCAGCCCAGGATAAAGTGAGGAGCTGGGGACCACCCTCATGTTAAGACCTGAGCAACTTCACTTGTGAAAACGAGAGAGAAGAGAAAGAAATGCAAAGACTTCCTTAGCCAGAGGTGGGCAAAGGGGCTATTACCTCTGTGGCTCACTCTGGGTAGGGCAGGTGTGTGCCAAACCTGTAGGTATGTGGGAATTCTCTGGGGGCAGGACTGTACCTGGTGCTGGACCCACCAAGATGCACGGCTTTGGATGAATGAAGAAAGAGAAAGGGCTCATTGGAGAGGACACAGGACAGAGTGCAGGAGGCAGAGGCAGGCCCCCAGGAGGCCTGATCAGGACTGGCCTACAGCGCCGTCTTAGTGGGTCACTTGATTAAACACTGTGACCAGAGCAACTTGGGAAGGAAAGGGTTTATTAGGCTTCCTCACCACTGTTCATCACTGAAGGAATTCAGGACAGGCACTCAAACAGGGCAGGGACCTGGAGGCAGGAGCTGAGGTAGACTTCATGGAAGGGTGCTCCTTACTGGCTTGGTCTTCATGGCTTGTTCAGCCTGCTTTCTTACAGAACCCAGGACAACCAGACCAGGGAAAGCACCACCCACAATGGCCTGGTCCCTCTCCCATCCATCACTAATTAAGAAAGTGACCTCCATGCTTGATAACAGCCCCATCTTATGGAAGCATTTTCTTAACTGACATTCCCTCCTCTCAGATGATTTTTAGCTTGTGTCAAGTTGACATAAAACCAGATAGCACAAGGGCCCAGAAGCCAACTCCTCCCTGTGGTAAGACTTCAGTTTTCTTGAGATTTCCCCCTGGTGTCATGGTTGGTTTGAGTGGACTCTGTGCTTACCTGAGCTAGGATTGGCATAGTTGGCTCAGCCAAGGAGTATACAACTTCCCTCTGAGATAGAAAACTCAGGGCAACTCTACAGCTTGACATTGTGTCCTTCCAAGACCTTAAACCCAAAGTGAACTAACTCAAGGTTCTGCCCTTACAAAAGGGCTTAAAGTGGGGAGTTCACCATTGTTCTCTGATGACCCAGTGGGAGGATGCTGCAGGTACCATCTTGGCAGCAGAGATTAACTCTCACCATACACAACTTGCTAGCGTCTTGATCTTGGACCTCTAGCTTTTAGAAACATGAGAGGTAAGCTTTCGTTATTGATAAGTTTCCCAGCGTGGAGCCATATTGTGACAGCAGTACAAACATGGAGAGAGCATTTAACTCATCCATCGGAGTTCATTCCTCTTTGCTGCAAGTCTGGGCAGGTAGCCAGGCCGCTATTCTTCTGGGACCCAAGTACCTCCTGTCTCATTTTCCTTGGTGTGAGTTACATTTTTAGGACTTCAGCTACTCCCTTAGGTTGTAGCCAGAGAGAGGGCTGAAGAGGTTGAAAAGGGCCCTGATAGGATTTCTTTGTGGGTGGTGCTTGGAGGCTGACTTTAGACACACGCTCACTCTCCTGAGTTAGGCAGGTTTTCTTCACAGACAAATGTCAGAAACAGTTTAAAGTAGAAGAGATTTATTTTTGTCTCATAAGTTCAGAGATTTTAGTCTGTAGCTGGCTCCACTGTTTTGGGCCTGAGGGAAGACAATGTCAGGATGGCAGAAGTGTGTGGTGGCGGCTACTCATTTCATGGCAGCCAGGCAGGTGTGTGTGGACAGAGACCCCTTCAAAGACCTATTTCCTTCAAACAGGCTCCACCTTCCAGGGTCTACTGCTTCTAACGACACTACGAAATCGTAAATCTTTCATGAGGTCAGAGCCCTCAGGAGTCAATCACTTCCCAATATTCACCAGTGACCAACCACTTTCTCCCGTGATCCTCTGCAAGGTATGCAAACCATACCTTTCTGTCCAGAACTTAGACGTTCGTGCCCTACACTCAGGTGGGGAGCAGGAAAAGGGTTTACTCTTTGGGTGCCCTGTGACCAGGAGTAGCAAAGAAAGGTGTCACCCTGGAAGCACAGGTGCTGTGCCCTGCTAACTCGGTCTTTTCAGCCCTCACTGTGACCTGTGTTCTCAGTGGTGTGGGCAGCTCGATGTTCAGTTCCTCACCCAGGCCTGGCCTTGACAGAGTCATAGCAGTGGCTGCCAGCCAGGCTCTGCATTCTGGATTAATTATCTTTTCCCTGGCTATT